GGAATAGTATTTTCTGCATCAAAGAAAGTGATTGAAAATATGGATAATCTATTACCAAAATTGGAAAAAATTGAAAACATTATGAAAAGTTGGGTACGAAGGGATTTAACAATTTTTGGAAAAGTGACATTGGTTAAATCATTAATGATGTCACAATTTGGATATATAATACAGGCGTTCATATTACCGGAAGATTTCCTTAACCGTCTTAATACACTGTTTTACAAGTACATCTGGAGTAAAAGTGGTTTTAAAGAATGTGAAATTAAGAAACAACCGGAGAAAATTAAAAGAGAGATTTTAAATTTAGATAAAGAAAATGGTGGTCTAAACATGATAAATACGATAGACTTTCAAATCTCATTTGTGGTAAAATGGTTTTCAAAACTTATTGGTGAGGGCATGGATAAATGGAAAATAATTCCAAAAGCTGAATTTTCCAAGTTAGGGGTTAATTTCAATGTACTCAAAAGCAAGATAGATATGGAAAACTTTATAGGGATTAATGAAGTAAAGAGTACTTTTTGGAAAAGGGGGTTAGAAATTTGGTTAACAAAATCTGAAAATAAAAATCTTTTAGATTGTGACATCATTTGGAACAATCTGGACATAACTTTTCAAAAAAGAGTTCTTTATGACAAAAAATGGATTAGAGGGGGGATTAATTATGTGTCTGATTTTATAATAGAAGGTAAATGTTTAACATACAATGAAATAATTAATAAATTAGGCAGAGGCCCAGATGTCTATATGCAATATGTACAAGTAAGAGCAGCTTTGATAAAATATCCAAATAAAATCAATAGGAATGAAAAAATAACTTTTTTAGGGGAAAATATAGAGAAAATAAAAACATGTAATATAAGAAAGAAAATTGTTAGTAGAAGAGGGGTGACAAATAAATCAGAAGCCCATTGGAAAAATCAATATGGTGAGATCCCATTTAAGTTAATGTATAGAGTACTTTTTAAGACAAATGTAAATCATAAAGTAAAGGAATTCATATATAAAGTAATAAATGGTGCAATAGAAATTGAAAGAAGATTGAAAAAACAAAAATTATCTGATGGAATGTGTAAAGTTTGTAAAAATGTTGAGGAATCACAAGAACACCTTTTTTTAGAATGTAAATTCAAAAATGAATGGGACAATTTAGAAAGTACTAATTTAATTGAAAGAGATAAAATGCTTTTTTACTTTAGAGAAGATAGCTCATTAGAAAACATGATAGAGATTAATAGTGAAATTTTTATTATTAAACGGAAAATATGGTTAAAAAGATGTGTAGAAATTTTTAATTAAGAAAATGTATTTAGATTTTAAACTATAATAGTATTATGTACATGGTGGGTAACAGTGTTTTTTTTTGATTTCGCAGATATATTGATTTGTTGTATTGAATGTATTGAAATGTTATATTGAATGTAGTAAATGGATCGAATAAGTGTATTGAATAAATAAAAAAAAAAAAAAAAAAAAAAAAAAAATGCAATAAAATTTGAACCAAGGTGTTCAAAATTTTGACCAAGGTGTTCACAATTTGAAGGTAGGTGTTCAACATTTGTAAGTCACTTATTTTAAGGTCAGGGTGCATGATGGGAAATTTTCTGCATCCCTCAATTGAGTCACATGTTATTTTTCAAACAAGAATCACTCCTTCCCCACATTCACTGGGGGGTATCGTGATGCAACAACACCGTGTTGTTGCATCAAGATGGCCAGACTTCCGGTGATAGATTTTCGTACGATGTTTTGTTTTCCCAATTTACACCCATTTCTAGGACGAGTTGCTCAATAATCATACACATGCAGTTAGCACATGATCTATATTTTAAAAAACTGTCATTGGTATACACGTAGCATCATCAAGAAGCGATAAGTTCGTGGTTTTAATTCCTCACTATTGATGCAACAACACCACTCTGTTTCTTATCGATGATGCAACAACACCAATGTGCTGATGCAAAAACGCCAATATAATGTATCATTGAACAACAAGAGAAACTGTTTTATGTTCTGTTTACAGGTGTAGGTCGGGACATGAGTAAAACGCGTGAGTCAGTGGTCCATGAACGAAACGTATTTTGTTTGGTTTCTTTGTCTATATCAAAGTTAAAAGGATATACAAGGCAAACTAAATAAGGTACAGAATCCCCGGGAGGCAATCTCATTGATATTGTATCTGAAAAATAAAGATTATACATTTTCTAAATTAAATGCCCTTGATTTACTGTATGGAAATTGCTTACAAATAACTAATATAATTTTGGAAAGACAACAGATATCAGTCATTTTGTGTTGTTAGTACCTCAATTGAAATACTCAATTCTGATTGGTTGATGAGCGGGCAACAAAATGTATTGTTAGTACCTCAACTGAACATTTTGTAAATGTTGAGGAAAATGACTTTACTAGGCGACAAGTATAGCAAAAATACAAATAGAAACTTAAAATTAACATTAATTCACTAACGAGTACGCCGTGATGTGCCAAATACAGAGTTAAGCTTCTTGCACTGTCTCCATATTTTCTAAAAAAAATATTGCTAACGTGGTTCGGAGAAAAGGTTGTGAAATGAAGCCATGCCGATTGATGATCGTCGTCTATATGTGTATTATTAGTTTACTCGGACTAACAAAACAATTGTAGACCTCTCCATTTGATCAACCGTCAAAATCATATACCTCGACTGTAAACCTTGAAACTACTGTTGACCTCGACCTTCGGTCTCTGTCAACAGTATTTTTTCGGTTTACAGTCTCAGTATACAATTTTGCCGGTTGGCCTCTGGAGAGGTCAACAATTGTAAACTGTTGACCACTACTAGGTACTGTTGACCCCTATTTTTTGAAAAATGTTGAAATATTTTTAATTTTGAAAAAATAAGTTGTGTAAAAAATTACAAGTATTCGACGGTTTGGGGATTTTTTGCTAAAATATGATACCTTTACTTATCAAATATGTTCACGTGATATTCGATTATATATTCGTCCAATTATTATATTATTTGGACTAACAGAACAATTGTTAACCTCTCTTTTCGGTCAACTGGCAAAAGTGTCCTCGACCTCTGGTCTTGATCAACAGTACTTTCAAGGTTTACAGTATCGGTATACAATTTTGCCAGTTGACCTCAAGAGGGGTCTACAATTGTATATTGTATATCCTTTGTTATCCCACCCAAAGTATGATGTCATATATCAAGTTGAAGAGTTGTATACGCTGCTCAGGAGTTTACGCTATCCAAGAGTTGTACATCGTTCTCAAGAGTTGTATAGGATGAGTGTTGGTTTAATGATATTGCAGTTATACAATGCTACTATATAAAAGTTATTTACTGAAAGGGATTCAATATTGGTTTTATTTCGAGAGACAATATGATATTACCCGAGGGCCCGGGATATCTGGGATAACTGCAGGCCTGTCAACTGTCCCGCAATTTGCGTATTTGTCACGCATTTGCTGAAGAATTTGAAGTCACGCCAGTTCAACATTTGCAAGTCACTCATGTTAGGTGTCCCCAAGTTGACAGGCCTGTAACTGTACCCCTATCAATTTACCTTTTTGGGCCCTAAATCTTATCACTTTTGTTTACCTTTTTACTCAGTCGGAGAGAAGGAATCCAAAGAGAGCAATAATTCTACATGTGCGTCGTGAAAGATTTCCATTAAACGTGTAACTAAACGGCCTCTCTAATAAAGTCAATTAGACGTTTTTACACGTTGGCTCTCCAAATTGTAGGAAATAAAGAATCATGTCATATTATATCATAGATGAAGCAATCATCCCATCAACATAAGCTCACGAATGTCACAGTTAAACTGTTTTAGTTATAATTTGATAAACAGTGGTAACGTACATCTACTAGTTTATCACTATTCCACAGAAGGATGACAGATAATATCATGATAATATCCAATAGCTCATCATGTTTACCGAGAACGAAAGATATTTGTCCACCATTTTGAATGATACTAACTGGAGTCAGGGTCATCAAGCTATGGAACAGTGGTTTATGAAAATAGATTGGGTTACTAAAGCTTGCCATGTTAAAGGCGCTTTGAACTATGTTATAGAATAACGTCCAGTACATTATAATATGTAGAAGTATAAATTTTTGAAAATACATATAAAGATCTTCGCCCGCAGGACGTGTATTTTGAATGCCTTGAGAAGAACGCAAATATGGGTAGGCTAATTGGTAACGGTATTGCAATAGTAGCATTTAAGAATCTGTTCCTCTCGAGATGGTCTTCTGAAATTATACTATTATTAATTGGTGTTGCTGCATAATTGCTCAAATCTAGAGGAGTGTTGTTGCATCTTCGGTTTGGTGTTGTTGCATCAATAGTGAGGAACTAAAACCGTGAACTTATTGCTTCTTGGTGATGGTATATGTATACTAATGACAGTTTCTTTAAATATAGATCGTGCGCTAACTGTACGTGTATGGTTATTGAGCAACTCGTCCTAGAAATGGGTTTAATTGGGGAAACAAAATATCGTACGAAAATCTATCACCGGAAGTCTGGCCATCTTGATGCAACAACACGGTGTTGTTGCATCACGATACTCCCCAGTGACATTGCCTATATCTTCCAGTTTTGCACAAAGAGTGCACTTATGTGCCTAGAAAAGACTTGTGAGAAGAATGTTTTGATAAAGTGTATAAAAAACAAGAAAATTCAGTGAAAAAAATCAGAAAATTTTCAGAAATTTTTTTCACCTAATTTTCTCATTTTCCATACATTTTACAAAACAAACCTTCTCACAAGGCTTTTCTAGGCACACAAGTGCACTCTTTGTGCAAACTTGGAACATGTAGACAATGTGGGGAAGGAGTGATTCTTGTTTGAAAAATAACATGTGACTCAATTGAGGAATGCAGAAAATTTCCCATCATGCACCCTGACCTTAAGTGTTCCCAGGTTGACAGGCCTGTGCCTTATAGCCTGGGCTAAAAAATTAAAATAACTTTACTTCCGGTCTATTTATGTCTACCTTTCTCACCCTGTTTACCACTCTCTCATTCTGAAAATAAAATCTACCGATGGATACAAATGTTTTACTTCAATACCTACTATACAAATTGACTAAATGAGTCAATTGTAAGAGAAGTATGAGAACGTATGAGAAAGTGTTTATTTTCACGGTACGTAAAATCCACCAGATTACGCCTTTTCGCAGTAAATTTGAGAACGTTCATCTTTTGAGAATACTGTTTGCAGTTTTAATTGCAGACCCTAGCCAAATTTCCATCTTCTTGGTTTCTGAATGTCTATTATATAAGGCCATGGATTGAAGATACTTTGTTGAACTTTCTAACAGAATGCGGATCGTCCAATGTACAAGGAAACACAAACTAAAAATGCTAAACTCATACGCGTCCAATATATTCTAGCTTTTTGATTGTTCGTACAAGTAGTGCAACTTGGAGAATGTAAATATAAAAACAAGAAAGCAACAACAAATAAATGGGTAAAACTACTATTTTATTGTAAAATATACCAAAATATCTGTGGCCAATACTTCTTGAATGTTAGATTCACATCAATTCGTCGTCAAAACAAACATCAACTAGATCTAGACTACCGTACAATTATATTTAGAGCTGCTCCCTTGGGCATGTGGCTCACTGACTGATTTGTCAGTTTGTTTCAAAATCAAAACTGTCCTGGATTAGAACACACAGTTGGAATTTGTTTTAAAAACATAACCATTTTGTTACTAGGCTTATTAGTCTACAAGAGACATGTATGAAACTCTTCGATCTCAGAGATTTAATGTTTGTTACTTGATTAATGGATGTTTGTCACAGTCCATGTCACAGTGTTTCATATAGATCTACTTCACATTATTGCAGCTTAGATGACTGAAAAATATTGAAATTCAAAAATGGGATGTACAGGATCTAAAACAACAGATGCGACAACTACAAATGACATTACGGTTGAGTTGCCCTCGGAATTCAATGATGACATCATTACAAAGATAATACTCAAAGCTCTGGACAAATCAGATGTTTCAACTGCTGTGAAGATTATTTTAAAATATGCTTATGAAGATCTGATAACGTTGCCTCACGCATACAGTGATGCCTTTTCTGAGGACCTTTTCGCATGCATTAATAAAGTCTGTACGAATAAATCACTCTGTTATGCCCTTACGCTTGGACTTAATACCAAAGAGAAAAACATGGCGATGGATGTGCATTCTTGCTTACAAAGGGATGATAAAAAAACATTGTTTGAGATTATCTCAGCTGGGGACAAATCCGAGTTAGAAACTTTGGATGTAACTTATGAGGCTATATATAAAACAATACTTGAAGATGATATTAAGAAGGCATTTGATCCACAGATAGCAGAGACCTTAGTTGCATTAAAGAAGGCAGAATCTTCATGTTCCATAGACAATACCGAGATTGATGATTGTGCAAATAAACTTGTCGAGGCTGCTAATTCTGACAGCATTTTCACAAATGATAAGATTTTCTTTCAATACCTGACAACAAAAACCAAGCCTGAATTGAAAGAAATCTTTGAAATGTTTCTGAAGAAAGCGCAGCGTGATATCACAGTTGAAGTAGAAAAGTTTTATCCATCTGATTCGCCAGAGAGGATATGCTACACAACGGCATGTGATGTGATACGCAATACCCCTCTATATCACGCCCAGTCGATCCACAATCTTCTTTCCAGTGACACAGAAGAAGATATGAAGCAACTTCTGTACATTATAATGATTCAAACAGAGAGTAAAATCAAGGACATTAAACTGTGTTATAAAAGCACCTTTTTCCAAACCCTAGCAATGGACATCAAAGAAGAGATATCTGAACCAACTTTGCAGCAAATATTGCTTAAATTTGTTGGCAAAGGGTAGTGACATTAAGGTACATGTCACATGTGGAATAAAAACATTTTTGAAAAATGAAAAAGATACCTGCTGCATATGTTATTTCTAGTACAAAATAAACACAGGCTGGTATCGAAAGATTTGTCCGCTGTGACGGAGCATGCTATTTTTCATAAAAACACTAAGAATGCTTCACGATTTATTTTTTAACTCATATGTTTCGTTATATCAAAGATAATTACTTACTCCATGCAATGGATATATCATTTGCGTGTAACCTTCACTTCTGTTTGAAGTCCAATAACGCTAGGAGTAAAATCTATTGAAAACGGCGCCAAAGTATCAAACTCTAAAATGTACCATTTCTTTTTTAACTTTTTAATGGCATGATGTAGTGATACGATAATATTAACATATGTTTTCACCATGAGTCTGAATTTATTAATGAGATATTAATGCATTGGGTCTTTTTAATGTTTTTATAAAAAATAATATTAATATTTTTTGTCCGCTGTGACGGAGCATTTTCACAGTTCACATTTGCAACTGCTCCGTCACAGCGGACAAAAAAATCAAACATTATTTTTTATAAAAGAATTAAAAAGACCAAATACATCAACATCTCATTTATACCTTCATAGTTATGCTGAAACCATGTGTAAATATTATCGTGTCACTATATCATGCCATTAGAAACTTAAACAAGAAATGGTACATTTTGAAGTATGATACTCCGGCGCCATTTTCAATAGCTTTTCTTCCCAGCGTAATTGGACTTCAAACAGAAGTGAAAGTTACCCGCAAATGAAATATCCATTGCATGCAGTAAGTAATTTTGTATGGTATAACGAAATATATGAGTTAAAAAATAAATCGTGAAGTATTCTTAGTGTTTTTATGAAAAATAGCATGCTCCGTCACAGCGGACAAATATTTCGATACTAGCCTGTGATAAAGTATGATGGCATATGTGTTTTTCCTTGCTTTTTTCAGAAAGTTATCATTGCATTGTTTTCTTTTATTAAACTTTCCTGACAAAAACAAGAAAATTCACACATGCTTTTATTTTATCGCTTGAATAAGCGATAAGTATTTTTCACTAATGAAATCTTCATTTACTCCTGTCAGTGTGTACTTTGATGCATGACCATGTGCTTCTTTCAGATAAACATAAATCGTTCTAGACATGGTCTACATCTTTGCACAAAAGGTGGATGAGTGAACCTAGATTATTAATTTAGGGTCGATTATTCTTTAGAAAGTATAACTAGAATACTTTTCAAAATTGCAAAAAATTCAAAGTACAGTCTGATCTTAACAAAATCAACTTTGTTCTTTCATCACAATAAATAGGGTCTCTCACTCCCTCAGAATTTTAGAAGTAACTTTTGTAAATTTATTCATTCTCTGTGTTGGAACAATGGTAGTTGTATGTATAAATCTGCTAATACAGGGTGAGCCAAAAATATAGGCCAAACAAATATTAATGACTCCGTCTTACAACATGTATTTGAAATCATATTTAGCAAAACCAAACCTTGTTCAATCTTCTTTCACTCTACTAAGTTTCATTCCTCTATATTTAATGGTCACGATTTTATGGTCATTTTAAGAAACAAGCTGGACGACTGAGTTATTAACATTTGTTTGGGTTAACCTTTTTGGGTCACCCTGTAAAACTTTTTATCAGTTCATGCAGTTGGGCAAAATCAGCCTATTTAGCCACATGCATCCAACATGTAAATACCATTATGGTAGAAGTAGAAGGGTAAACATTTTGTGAAAACCTTAGTTTTTTAGGACAGTTAGGTTATAGTTTCAACTCTCAATAGACAAATATTTAACATTGTATTAGATTTGGAAATATGTGATGAAAAGTTAAATAAAGTGTGATATATGTTGAAAGATGGCGTTAGTGCATAATATGCAAATATTATTTTCAGAGTACCACTTATCTCAGATTTATGAGAGTTGTATTTGTATTTTATTTTGAGAGAATTTTCAAATGGAGGGATCAAATGTTTATCAAGGTTGAAGTTATAATGGATTGAGATTGAGGCTTCTTTTGTAGTTAGATCAGGGGATACATGCAATACTACTTCACTGGCCAGGATAGACATAACTGTCAATGTCAATGTTTGGATTTAGGTATGTTCTCCAAATGTCAATGTTCTAATGAAGGGATGTTCTCCAAATGTCATTGATCACATTAAGGGATGTTCTCCAAATGTCAATGTTCACATTAAGGGATGTTCTCCAAATGTCATTGATCACATTAAGGGATGTTCTCCAAATGTCAATGTTCACATTAAGGGATGTTCTCCAAATGTCAATGTTCAAATTAAGGAATGTTCTCCAAATGTCAGTGATCACATTAAGGGATGTTCTCCAAATGTCATTGATCACATTAAGGGATGTTCTCCAAATGTCAATGTTCACATTAAGGGATGTTCTCCAAATGTCATTGATCACATTAAGGGATGTTCTCCAAATGTCAATGTTCACATTAAGGGATGTTCTCCAAATGTCAGTGTTCAAATTAAGGAATGTTCTCCAAATGTCAGTGATCACATTAAGGGATGTTCTCCAAATGTCAGTGTTCACATTTAGGGATGTTCTCCAAATGTCAATGTTCACGTTAAGGGATGTTCTCCAAATGTCAGTGTTCAAATTAAGGAATGTTCTCCAAATGTCAGTGTTCGCATTTAGGGATGTTCTTCAAGTGTCAGTGTTCACATTAAGGGATGTTCTTCAAATGTCAGTGTTCACATTAAGGGATGTTCTCCAAATGTCAATATTTACATTAAGGGATGTTCTCCAAATGTCAGTGTTCAAATTAAGGAATGTTCTCCAAATGTCAGTGATCACATTAAGGGATGTTCTCCAAATGTCAGTGTTCGCATTTAGGGATGTTCTTCAAATGTCAGTGTTCACATTAAGGGATGTTCTCCAAATGTCAATGTTCACATTAAGGGATGTTCTCCAAATGTCAATTTTCACATTAGGGGATGTTCTCCAAATGCCAATGTTCACATTAAAGGTTTTTCTCCAAATGTCAATGTTCACATTAAGGGATGTTCCTTAAATATCAGTGTTCACATTAAGGGATATCCTCCAACTGTCAATTTTCGCATTAAGGGATGTTCCCCAAATGCCAATGTTCACATTAAGGGTTGTTCTCCAAATGTCAATCTTCACATTAAGGGATGTTCCTTAAATATCAGTGTTCACATTAAGGGATATCCTCCAAATGTCAATTTTCACATTTAGGTATGTTCTCCAAATGCCAATGTTCACATTAAGGGTTGTTCTCCAAATGTCAGTGTTCACATTAAGGGATATCCTCCAAATGTCAATGTTCACATTAAGGGATGTTCTCCAAATGTCAATATTCACATTAAGGGATGTTTTCCAAATGTCAATGTTCACATTAGGGGATGTTCTCCAAGTGTCAATTTTCACATTTAGGGATGTTCTCCAAATGTCAATGTTCACATTAGGGGATGTTCTCCAAATGTCAATGTTCACATTAAGGGATGTTCTCCAAATGTCAATGTTCACATTAAGGGTTGTTCTCCAAATGTCAATGTTCTAATGAAGGGATGTTCTCCAAATGTCAATGTCCACATCAGGGGATGTTCTCCAAATGCCAGTGTTCACATTAAGGGTTGTTCTCCAAATGTCAATGTTCACATTAAGGGATGTTCCCCAAATGCCAATGTTCACATTAAGGGTTGTTCTCCAAATGTCAATCTTCACATTAAGGGATGTTCCTTAAATATCAGTGTTCACATTAAGGGATATCCTCCAAATGTCAATTTTCACATTTAGGGATGTTCTCCAAATGCCAATGTTCACATTAAGGGTTGTTCTCCAAATGTCAATGTTCACATTAAGGGATGTTCTCCAAATGTCAATGTTCACATTAGGGGATGTTCTCCAAATGTCAATTTTAACATTTAGGGATGTTCTCCAAATGCCAATGTTCACATTAAGGGATGTTCTCAAAATGTCAATGTTCACATTAAGGGATGTTCTCCAAATGTCAATGTTCACATTAGGGGATGTTCTCCAAATGTCAATTTTCACATTTAGGGATGTTCTCCAAATGCCAATGTTCACATTAAGGGTTGTTCTCCAAATGTCAATCTTCACATTAAGGGATGTTCCTTAAATATCAGTGTTCACATTGAGGGATATCCTCCAACTGTCAATTTTCACATTTAGGGATGTTCTCCAAATGCCAATGTTCACATTAAGGCTTGTTCTCCAAATGCCAATGTTCACATTAAGGGTTGTTCTCCAAATATCATTGTTCACATTTAGGGATGTTCTCCAAATGCCAATGTTCACATTAAGGCTTGTTCTCCAAATACCAATGTTCACATTAAGGGTTGTTCTCCAAATATCATTGTTCACATTAAGGGATGCTCTCCAAATATCAATGTTCACATTAAGGGTTGTTCTCCAAATGCCAATGTTCACATTAGGGGATGCTCTCCAAATATCAGAGTTCACATTAAGGGATGTTCTCAAAATGCCAGTGTTCACATTAAGTGTTGTTCTCCAAATATCATTGTTCACATCAGGGGATGTTCTCCAAATGTCAATGTACAAATTAGGGGATGTTCTCCAAATGTCAATTTTCACATTAGGGGATGTTCTCCAAATGTCAATGCTCACCTTAGGGGATTCTCTCCAGATGTCAATTTTCACATTTAGGGATGTTCTTCAAATGCCAATGTTCACATAAGTGGATGATCTCAAAATGTCAATGATCACATTAGGGGATGTTCTCCAAATGTCAATGGTCACATTAGGTGATGTTTTCCAAATGTCAATGTTCATATTAAGTGATTTTCTTCAAATGTCAATGTGCACATTAAGAAATGATCTTCAAATGTCAATGTTCAAACTTAAGGGAATATCTCCAAGTGTCAATGTTCACATTAGGGGATGCTCTCCAAATATCAGAGTTCACATTAAGGGATGTTCTCAAAATGTCAGTGTTCACATTAAGGGTTGTTCTCCATATATCATTGTTCACATTAGGGGATGTTTTCCAAATATCAATTTTCACATTTAGGGATGTTTTCCAAATGTCAATGTTCACATTAGGGGATGTTCTCCAAATGTCAATGTTCGCATTAGGGGATGTTCTTCAAATGTCAGTGTTCACATTAGGGGATGTTGTTCAAATGTCAATGTTCAATGTTGGGTTATTGATATATGCAGGGTAAACCAAAAAGACTAGCTACTATAATTTCTATTGTCGCCCATGTACATGTAGCTAACTTACAAGTCGTGCAAATATTTACAGAATTGCAAATGTCATGAAGAATGTGTGTGAACATGATGGGCCATATATAAGACTATTACATATCCATTCCATTGGCAGACCTTTAGCTCCCAACTATGTTAGGTGTTACACTCGTGATCATTTGATTGTAGATTGCTGATTTAGACTATGAGAGAGTTTGTTATTAAGCTCCAATTTTGGATGAGCATCGTGACGACAGGGTGGTGAATTGGCAGCATGTCCAAATGGAGTCTTCACAAATGTACATGTATATACAACGATGCCATTGTAGTCTTAGAGAGAAAATGATGAATGCAACACCTTACAACAGGCACAATAGCAGAAGATGATTGTTGTAAGTTTTATAACACATCACCCTTTCTCATATACACATTGATGTAAAATGAAAGATTTTCATAGACATAGTATTTCTGTTAAATGTCAATTTTTCAGGTTGTCATTGAGTATATGGAAAAACAAAAAGTACCTGCCATATCCTATGTTTCTGTAATATGCAATAACTTTCGATGTAAATATGCAATAAATAACATGCTATTTCTTTTAGACCTGTCTGGAGAATGTGAAAAAGACTGGAAAGGAATGCAATGAGGAGAAATTCACACCACAGGCTTGCAGTTCACAGCTTATAACAGAACATGTAAATCGTAAATGAAGAAATTGAAGTAAGTTCATATCTGAAATCATACATAATAGATAAGGCATGTTTTATGCAGTGATGTAGCCAGGAAGCATTTTGACTACAAGTTTTGTAAAAATATGTTTATTATGTCACCACCAAAAAGTGGTGACATAATAGCAGCAGTTGGCAATCGGCTGTTGGCGCCTGTAACAAATTCTTAAAACTTCCAATAACTTAACAAATACTGTTTAGACTGACTTCAGTTTTTTTCAAAATCATCTACAAGTTTTCAGTAGTTCAAATCTGACTTTATATTTAAGATTTGACCTTCAGTGACCTTTTCAAGATAAATAAAAAAGGACAAAAAGGTCTTTTTTCAACTTGCTTCAAATTGAGCAATTTTTTCCTCAAAATTATCTACAAGTTTTAAGAAGTTCAAATCTGACTTTAGATTGAACTAATAATATTATGAGCAACTAGGTAGTGAAATTTTGTCATGTTACTGCCTTGTTGCATTGTGTAACACTTCAAACATCCTTAAATACGAAGCTTTTTGTCAAAATGCTTTTTAATGAAGCTAGCTATTAAATCTTCTGTGTTACTCTTTCCATTATCTCTAACTCATAATTGCAAAATGATGTATGTCACAAAGGGATATCTGTGTTTGCATGTAAATGATACATATACATATTGAATGGAATAATATTGACAAAATAATAGATCTACACCACTTCAATGTTGCTATGGTAAATTGTTTACTTCATTTATTGTAACTTGATCATATTACAACCTAGATAAACATTTGTATACATAGAATACAGTGTATACACTCCCCTTCAAAAGTTTGGCAATCAGACGTTTGGTACTGACCCTTTATAGTTTCAGCCTAGCTGTGGTTGGTAAAGCCCCTTTGGCGTCAGTCTATGGAGTGGAAGGGCCTGGGTTTGATTCCCATATGGGGCACACTCTCTTTCAGGTTTAATATCTCGCTCATTACATCTCCCCGGCCGGATGAGCATGCCAGGGTTGTTATAGCTCCATTTCAAAGGACCTGTTAAAATCTGTTTAAGTTTGGTCATTTAACTATTTCATCGAAGTCATTCATGAAGACCAAAGGCAAGATTCATACATAAAGGGTTGTATCTAACGTCTAATGAGAATTTCCAATTTCCAAACATTTGGAGGGAGTGTACATGTTTGTACTATAGATCCAGAAATTGGTCCAACTTGTATATGCCTGAAATTATGACTGAGCCGTTTAACATCATGAATATTGATCAGTTCTATTTTCCCAATCCTACCTTGTTTACTAGTGTTATAGTGAGGCATGAGGAGGTCGTCTAAAATGATGAGTTCAGAGGAAACTAAAGGAAATGCCATTGGAAAATGATCAATGTGTTTGTGATTTTCTTGCGTACCTAAACAAGGTAAAAATCAAACTACCAAGTCTTTATGAATTTAAATCATCACATTTGATACCTCGTGCTTCAGTATAATAGATAATTAAGAGAACAGGAACTTAACAGGATCTCAACATTAATTTGCAGTATGCTTAAGACAAGTTCAAGTGACAAAGAATTACATGATCTCGAAGAGTGGATTGAAAGCAATGAAATTATGGATGAAAATAAAACAGATGGCACAAAACTGGATGATAATGCCAATCTTACCAAAAATGAAGATGAAGTTGAAGTTGAAAAAGGAGAACTAGAGTCTTTGGAAAATGAAATTAATGCGATTAAAGTAAAATCGGATAAAATTGAAGGTGAATTAGATGATCTTGCTCAATTGGAGGAAGTTAATTCACCAAGGAGTAAAAGCAGGGCCAGCAACATAAGTATTGGGTGTTTTAGTAAACTCCGCAATAAAAGTCCAAGTAAATATTCAACACATTCAGACAGGGATTTATGTTTTGCAGAACTTACAACTCTAGTCGACAAGGTGAGTTTGAAACTACTGTTTCCAAGAGTGATCAAGGACGTTTCGCTCTCTTTGTATTAGTAACCCCCCAAGCTCCAGCGCCAGTCATAGTTCATTGTCCCTCAAAGACATTCTTATATCATATCTTATATTTGTTTCATTGTGATATGAAATGAAAGATCAATGGGCAATATTTGAACAGAAACCACTCTGTATTATATATGAAAATGACCTTAAGCTATGAAGGTATATTATACTGTATTGCAACTAATTCCTATGTTTTGATCGTTCTAGTTTTAGGTTATTACCTGCGTCATTGTTACAAATTGATCTCTAAGTGTAAATGTTGATGAGACGAAACAGGTGGTTTCAAATTATATTGATTCCCGCTTCTTCCAATAATCCATCATTGATTTCTGCATTATAAGACAATGAGATCCCTTTCCTTATAATGTTATTATTCAGTATTTACATGCATGTGTGTGTGTCATTGACTACTACTTCCTCTGCAACTGCTAGAGGGTTGCCAAAATAGAGGAGTTCTGCTCTATAGGTATTAATTAAGTTCTATTGGATTGAAAGTTATCTACACTGCTATTCTAGATATTAATTTTAATGTCACCACCACAAGTGGTGACATATTGCTATGGTGCTCAACTTTTTGTGGCAGCTGTTAGTGTTTGGCACTTGGTGTTTGTAACAAATTACAAAGGTCCATGTGCAGTATGGCAAGTATTTTTAGACAGTCATATCTTTCACCATGAGTACTTTCTGGGCATAAATACAGTGGTTTTTATTAAAACAATGAAAAATTATGTCATTATTTTTTCAAAATGTTGAACCTATTTACTAAAAAAAGGATCTCATTTTTCTGATTTTATTGCATGAAAAGATTATTCAAAGAGGGGTCTAAAACTTCTTCAAAAGTAGAATGGTATTGAAAGTCTAGTTTTGAAGATATCAATTTTCGAAGACCAAAATTATGCTGAAAACAATGGATAGCACGAGTTTTCCCTATGGGAAAATAACATGGGATATGTGGTTTTTAACTATAATGCATTTCAATACCAATCCCCTTTTTAGAAGTTGTAAATATAGTGAAAAACAAAATTTAAATCGATCATGGTTCAGAGAGTTGGATTGATATTGTTCTTTCACAGGAACTTCACTTGAAAGATAACATATTGTTTTTATAAAAACCACTGTATTTATGGCCAGGAAGTACCCATGATGAAAGATATGACCGTATAAAATCACTTGCCATACTGCACATTGACCTTTTGCATGTTAATGACTTGTTAAGCATAGTATTACTTATCAAAGTAAGAGCAGATATCCATGCTTCAAAGCTGACCTAACATTCCCTTCTGTGCAGTAACTTTTTTTGTAATTTTAGGCAGTGATAATCTTGACCATGAGGATATTCTGTTCATAAATACAACACTGTTATAACAGAATTTGTCCCCAGAATATCATAAATATGTTAGAGGTTCTCTGATAATTTGCTGACATTTATTCGAAATGTCGGACTTGTTTTTAAAAAAGATTTTTTTTTATTTCATAACAGTTTCCAATGCACAGGGACAGTGAAGTCTGTAAAATGGAACATCTCTAGAAGTGGAACACCTCTGTTAGTGAACACTTTGAGAGTCCTGACACCAACTGACTTCATGTCAATTGAATGTCTGTAAGTGGAACACCTCCCAAGTTGAACAACTCCCAAGTGGAACACTTTTAAAAGGTACCAAAGGTGTTCCATTTAGACAGGTTTTATTGTACAAGAGTTTAACAAAGGTAGAAATTATTTAGAAAATATCACTTTGATGACAAAGTTAGATTTTGTAATCATGGTCAGAATACACACATGGTCAATAGTTTTAAAACATTTAAAAAAAGTTTAAATAGGTTTTTCAGATGATCGTATAACTACAGGGTGACCAAAATTGATTTGTGCGAATTAAAATCAAAATGAGTTTGAGGTTGTGGGTGCAATTTTGTCAGCTCTAAATTTTAAATTTTGAATTATTCTACAATATATATTGTAATGACTTCAGTATGAATAATTATGATTGATTTGGGATAGTTGGGGTTTGTGTGTTCTATTTTCTTGTTTTGGTGTGTTCTGTTGCAATTGTTGGTTCATTCCCTTTGGTACTGTGCATACATATTTATCCTTGATAGCCCTTTAATTGTTCTCTGTTCAATTGAAGAATAAAAAGTTTCAAACAAAATGAATAACAGGCTGCATTTTTTCCAGGTTACCCTTTATTTTTGTGTCATCAATTTTTAACACCTGAGAAAGGAAACTTGGAAGCATTATTGCCCTAGTTTATCAAATAATTTGGATTTCATTTTCTGAAAACCAAGACAATTCTTTCAAAGTGGTCTATCATATAATGGTGGAATATTTTTCTGTTAAGGTTAGCCACTAGCTTATAAAGTTTTTTTGATTTAATTTGTCTAATATGTATAATGGTGGATTATTTTTATTACTATAAAGGCGAACCACTTTAGCATCTAATGGTCAACAAACTTCAACCAATTTAAACTTCATGCATTTTTAATGAAGGTATTGTTCATGTTCATCGTTGCTGTGGTTGCTTTCTGTTTTTGTCTCATGATTCCTGAAAAACCACTCATCAGATGTAATGTTTGATAAAGATGTCAGATGGTATCAAGGTATAGAACTATTTAAGTTTTCGGTAGGCTTTGTGAAGTCTGATGCATCTTTCCCTTATAAAAAATTCAACCTTGAAAGTACGAATTTAAACCGTTGCACAATCATTGCACAATCATTGATCCGATCATTTATGCAACCATGCCAACCGTTACAATGCAACCATTACAATTTTGGTTGTAAACTCATTGAAAATGTTTCAATCATATGTAACCATTGTAAACGCTTGACAATTTTGATTGAATTTCTTGCAACCGTTTCAATCGAATGCAACCCTTTAACAATATTATCTCAATACAACATAAAATAATTACATTGCTCTTTAAAATATATATTTCAAATGTATGTATTTCATGCATACATGTCAGAATTAAAATTTTTTTGATCAAAAAGATATTTAAAGTATTGAAATAGTTTAGTAAACTTGTCTTGTGAATGAAAATATATTGAACCAATTTCCATCTAACCTTGAAGGATGGTGATTGTCCCACTCACATGTATATTATCTAGATAACAGCAATGCTATGGCATAGCAAATCCCCTCGCTGTCATGACAATCATTTTTACAAAATCCCTTCACTACTTTTTAAGTTATTGCAAAAACATTTGAAATAATTTTGATTGGGTCAAGTCTTGAATTTTACAAATTCAGACACTTATACTTCACCTTCACCTGAGTAATTATCACAATCATAAAGGAGGGAAGATCTGTCTGGAAGGAAGAAATCCTTCAATCAGAAAATAATCTGTTTATTGATTTGATATTTTTGATTAGATAGAGAAAATGCAATCAGACATTACAGGATGTGTTTTGAATAATTAATTCAATAAGCATAACTTAAAAAATTTTGATTACAGAAAGACTCAGTCTCTTTAGTTTGATTAGAGTCTGCTTTGAAGGATGTGTCTAAAGAAACTTTATAAATCCATTAATCCATAAACAAAACAAAAATAATTCGGCAAGGCAAAACAAACCTTATAACAGAGAGACTCTCAGTTTGATTAGAGTCTGCTATAAAGGAAGCATCCTATGTAATTTAATTATTCCATACACAGAACATGATAAATAATTTCCCATTAAACTGAAAACAAGTTTCAGTACAAATGCTATGCCCTAGTGAATACAGTAAAGCCATGAACTTTCAATTTATTGAATGCCCATGGTAAAAAAAACTAAATAAAAATGAAATAAAAAATTCTGAAAATAGTATTTGCAGTTTCCTATACTTGCTATTTGAGATTTCTCAGCACTTATAAAGTAATTGAATAAAGAAATAAACCCTCAAAAATCTGAAAACACTTTTTATGAAATGAAATGCATGAAATAGAGAATAAAAAAAAAATATATAGTATTACACAATATGAAAATAAATATAACAGAAACTATAGGAATATGAACCCTATTTCTGGTCAAGCATTTTAATTAGCTGTTCAACCGTTTTAATTAGCTGTTCAACCGTTTTAATTAGCTGTTCAACCGTTTTAATTGGCTGTTCAAGCATTCTGATTTGCCTAAACCCATGAGAATATCAATATGTAGTAGGTATTGTTTGATCATCAGTCTGATCATGAACAAAAACCATTGTGTCTCATCTTGTGATTTTGTTAAGTTTAAAGGAAATCTTAAGATGTTCCTTGGTCAATTTCTTAACCAAATTGGAATTTTGCTCAATTCTTTTCATGATTAACATCATTTTGGCAATATCTGATAAAGGGAAATAAACACTAAATATGGTACTTTTAATTTGTGTAAATAATGTAAATGACAGAGAACATAACTTATCATATGCCATTGAGTGGAAAACTAGTCTGGTATCGCATTCCTAAATTCGTACTGGAGAAAGAAACATATTAACATGAATTAAGTTATTTACTATAATAAACATGCATATGCTTGCAGAAAAAATATCCTAATATACTATTGTTTAATAGAGGTAGATTCAAATCCTTACTTAAAGATGATTTTAATTCAGGTAAAATGATAATTTTTTGGAACGATACTAATTCAGGATGGTTGCAGGGGTTGAACTATGTAATCATTGAACAAAACAAATTGCAACCATTTACATTTCAATGTGGAATGGTTGCAGTTTACAATGGTTGCAGATTACGATGATTGTATAGAAACGGTTGCGCAGTCGTTGAAAAAGAGTTGACTTTGCTTGGTTGAACACAATGGTTGCACAATGATTGCTTATCATCGTACAATGGTTTTTCCTTTGATCTTGGTAGTTGAAACAATCATTATTCAATGATTGGAAGAAACGGTTTAAATTCGGACTTTCAGGGTTGAATTTTTTATAAGGGTTCTTCAAAGGACTTCATTTATGCTTAATTCATAATA